TATAAATGCTAATTAATATATGCAAGAGTTTTGGATAACTCAACACGTAGTGGGTTGCGAGACCATGATATGATGCACAATGAAGACGATTAGAAAGGAATTAATCATGAGACGGACAAGGGCATTGAAGAGGAACCATCATCTGACACAAGTGAAGTTCAATATCGTGTATTACGAACTAGGACATCTCCGAGGACACAGCACGAAACAGTGCACACACTTAACGATTCCCAACGGGATGCTATTAAGAGTATGAGATTAGGGAGTTTACTGGACATTAAAATAGACGGGGTCCCATCTCGGTTGGGTTTCTATGTTGTAGACAATTTAACGAATATGAGGCTGAATGTTAGACACGATTCAATTCCAATTACAATATCATCCACTCATGACTTACTAGGCTTGCCGACTGGGGGGATTGATATACTTTGTACTCAACAAAAAAAACCTGAGACAAATATTAATGACATGTTTAGGAAGCAATTCGTTAAGAAAAATATGAGACCAAAGGACGTGATGAAACTTATCGAAGGTACTGGAGATGCATCCGGTGCATTCAAAATTAATTTCTTGGTTTTGTTTGTGAACTTGATGGTAGATTACAATCGGATGGGTTGTTGCAATCTTGGTTTTTGTCTTCTATTAAGGATGAGAAAATGATACTAGAGATTGACTGGTGAAAATACATATTTGATATGTTGAAAATGAGTAAGGACAACTGGAGTAGAACCAATGATATATGTTTCTACGTCGATCCACTAACTTATTTGACCGTAAGTGCATATACTTTTTTAAGTTGCATAAACTTTTTGAATTATAGTCTAAATAGCAGTTGGTCTTATTTTTACTCAGTTACTATATGTGGAGTCGACTATATGGCCAGACGAAGTAGTTGACCACATAAGGCTAGCTACAAGCGGATGAAGCTTCGAGATGTTAAGAATATGGGAGGCTTGGGAGATTGGCAATGGAGGATTATGATCGGCTGAACTGTCGGAAGAGACAAGAGAGCTGGGAAGAGAGGTACTTATATACCTTTAATGCATTACATGAAACGTTTGATGATAAGTAAACAAAGGAAAATGAAATGGTATTAAATAGTAACTGAACAGAAGGAAGTAGATATGAAACATGGACATATGAACCATTATATGAAACTTTTTCAATTGGTCAACAAACTTATTATGCATTATATGAATCTGTTCCAGTTGCTTATTACGCATTATATGAATATGTCTTCTAACATGAATCTGTTTCAATCTTATGAGAACATACATTTGTTCACTGGTATGAAATAGTTTCACTGTTTGATTTGTATAAACCTGTTTCACAACATTAACATATGAACCATTATATGAACCTATTTCACAACATTAACATATGAACCAGCAGTTACTGTCATGCATTTTGAACCGCATGAAACTGTTGCATACAGTAAAAACATGAACCTGTTGCTAGAGGAAACATTTGTAATGTCATGCATCTTCAACCTCATTAACCTGTTTAATAATTGAGAACCATGAGGTTCTATACTCTCAGTTTCTGTCATGCATCTTGAAAACTTACACATTAGGCAATTTGTACTATGTATTGTGGTATCATAAAGTTGTATGCAATAGGTGTTGACTAACGGTATCATCTAAACTCTCAGTTACAACCGACATTAATTTTCATTAGTGAAACAGGCTTCACTTGTCTGCCTTAATCCACGGTACTCATGAATAAAACGCAGTATGAAAATCATATGGCATTATGAATACTTAAAATTTACTGAGATTAATATATGAAACCGTTTCATTGTTTCATCAGATTAGATGAATATTGTTCACTGTCAGGAATCTGTTTCACATCTTTCAATGCATGAACCTGTTTTATAGTGATGGACCTTCATGAAGATATGAAATTGTGTATCATCTATGAAACTATTTCATGTATTTATTATTTAAGCTTGATTAGGTGGTTAGTTATTTGTAACCAAATTGATTTTATCAGCGGAGTTTTACAATTCTTTGTCTTGATATGATTTACAGGGGGAAATCAAATTGCTTAAAGACATGATAGATAATATACTTGCTACAAAGTGTAAAATTGAAGAGCGATTGAGTGCGTGCCTTTCAAAGTATCATAGTGATGAAGCTTTCATAAGTCTTGCTGGTGAGCTTAATGACATTTTCAAGAACTATAAGAAGCATGAAGGAAGTCGCGATACTGTCCCTTGTGCAAATAGCGCTTTGTCAAAAGAGAAGTTAGCAGACATTAAATCAAGTATGGTGTTTGTTACCTAACGTGATAGGGAAGAAGCAATAACCGATAATGTAGCTTCTACAGCTATTGGTACATCAAGAGAAAAGGTATCGGAACTTATATCAAGTGACATATGTGTTGGCCAACGTGTTAGGGATGAAACCAGTATTGAAAATGACTTGATTCTCACACCATTGTCACAATATTGGTTAAGTCAAACCTTCCATAAGATCTGTGATGAAACAGTTGAGAACTCAATTTCGAGCAAACAACACAGTAAGGACGTATTAAATATACGGCCTCCACATTTTGACTTGGGAATCAGCCCGACAAAGACCGTAGAACCGTCGTCTGTTATAAAGCCAACTAGAAAGGAGCAAGGAAAAGGTATTTGCATTGAAGATGAAGCAACATTAAAGAAATGCAACAGGTTCACAGGATAGCATAATGAAAAAGATACTTTAGATCCCCTGAAGTCAACATATGTTAAAGCGACATGGAGGAGTGTTCACTTGGGAGATCACTTAAGATCACCGTTCATAAGGCGGGCTATAGACATGAAGGTAAGTGGGGAAGATAAATGTATACACGAGTAGGCGCTGAAAGAAATTGGATCAACCTTGTAAGAATATGTTTATCTACTTTTCACTGTATGAAACTGTTATAAAAAGGAATTTTAAAACTGTATCAATAGCAAATGTTGAGAGTAATATGTGTATGTTTCCTTGACATACTACAGTGACATTGTATTCGAGTTGGAGAATGGCACGAATATCTTGCGGGGCAATTTGGCAAGCCTAGCATCCAACTCCATGGTGTACACTAATGTTATTGATGGATGGGCTGAATTGCTTAACTACGAGGAAATGTATAGAAGTCGTGATTCACTTTGTCGGTATTTTTTTCAATACAAGTGTCGATCTATATTAAATATGTAATATGTGCAATGAAACAAACCATTCATTTATGAAGAATCTCTGATTACGTAACTAAAACACAGGGTGATCCGAAGCTAAGGACTCAGTAGGCCAACTTCAATGTTCAGTATGACATGCTCAGCAATAACTTGGCTAAATCAGCTCGTTTTGACATGAACATTCTGAAAATGCGAAATATGGATTTGGTATGGCAGCGTTTATATATTTTTTTTCATTTAAAATTAAATAAACCTTTTTCTTTTTTTCATGAGATTACGTAACCTTTAAACCAACATAGACTTTCTTCCCTATTATGGACTGTGGTCACTACTACTTGGTGGTGTTTAACTTCAAGAACCCTTCAATTGTTGTAATAGACAACCGATTTTGGAAAGGATGTGCGATCGAAGACGAATATGGGTTTGTATGAGTACGTTGTTGACATATTGGTAAGTATGCACACTGAATATTCACTCTGAGACTACACATTTCTTTCTGCATTATATTTTATAACTGAATATTTGTTTTTTCAGCATCTCCTTATGATCAAGCACCAAAAAGTTGTACGACATCTAACCTGGCAAGAAATCGATGAAACGAGGCAAGAGCGCTTGCAAATGAGTTGGCAAACTAAAGAAAACTTCGATGATGGCGGTGTGTTCTTGATGAGGCATATGGAAACTTGGATGGGAGATGAAAGGTCATGGAAGACCGGTTTCACTACTTAGGGGCCGAATCAAAGAAACCAACTAATAGATCTAAGGAAGAAATACACGGTAAAGTTAGTACTTAGCAACTTCAGCAAAAAAAAGGAGGAAATCCGGAAGGAGGTTGATAAGTTCCATGCAATGGATCCTGAAGTTAAAAAGAAAGCAATAAAACAGGCACAATCAACAAAGAGATCTGGGATAGACATTTTCGTTTAATTGAAGCAAGCCATGGATCTATTTTTGGTCTAGTAAGGACATTTTTTGGGTTGTTAGGAGGCTAGGATCTGAATTTTCTCCTATACTTAGGAGTCACTTGTATTGCGTTCATTTTGGTTTGACTAAATTGATGTGTGTTCTTACACGTACCCTATACCTTGTTAAGCTAGGTAATCCATAATCAATTCTGCTTGACAATCAACCTTCGTTGTTTATGCCTGTTTATCGTGCTTCCATGAATCAGTTATGGTGAAACTATTTCATATTGTTCAGGTTTCAAAACTTCAAGGCATGGGTTTTGGCTTGAAAGACTTTGTAACATTTCGCCAATTTTGAAATCTTAATGTACTTATCGCAAAAAATAGGGGAACAAAATCATGTGTAATTACATCGTTCATGTTATTGATGACGTATCATATGTTTAAGGTTAAATATAAAGTTGTTGTTCACATGTTTTACTTTATTTTAACTTACGACTTGTAATCTCTTATGGAAATTCAAGTATATATTAACTTGTTTACTTATATAATATATATGAATTGGATGTTTACTTTCGAAAACACGTTATTTCTACAATAATACCATCTGAAAACTCTATTGCATGAAACATTTTCATCAATAACTGTTGAAAAGATAAAACAATCGATTCAAACATGAATGATGTTCAATAACCTATCAAACCAATAATAAGACCATCAACAATCATAAATTTTGAAGGATTCATGAAATGGTTTCATTAAATTACTGAATCTACCATACCATACAATTTCACAACCATTCAGGAAACAAGATCATCCAAAAAAATTAAATTATGAAACAATTTCATCAATAAAAGTTGATAAGATTAAACAATGAAAAGAAATACGAACGTTCACTAACAAATGAAACCAAAATAATTCGAATAACGAAAACGTTATTTCGTACCGTCGCTTTTTGACGGACAATTGCGAGAATCATGCCAAGCCATTTTCTCACAAGTTATGCACAATCTTTTGGGTTTCTTTGCATTAACGGATGTCCTCTCTGATATACCAACAAGACGCTTCCCTGTTCCACAACCTTTATTACGTATCCCAGTTGGGGGTAAGATATCAACTAATTCAAGTTCGGAAACACATAAAAGCTCCTAAATATCATTTATCTTCCATTCAGTACTTGTCAATATAGGAACATGGATTGAAATTTTCATCACCCCACTGTTCCAATTGGTCCACAAACTTTGCCAACGAATTCTTATCCTTGCGTACACGCCCAATAATAAGATCAAACATTGATACAACCTGGTTGATCATAACTTGCTTCTCAACATCCATTTCACCATATCTGACACGAGCCGACAACAACTCAACGGGAACTAACTCTCTTCTCCAGCGAGGCAAAATATATTTCTCAGGAATAGATTGCACCTCAGAATTTAACATTACCTTAAACGCATGGCGATATAATATGCCATTGCGAACAAAATTGTTGCAACTACAATCAAAAGACTCTTCCCTAATATCATGAACCACCTAGCGTATCTTGAAATAACGGAAAAAAAAAATTAGTAACAAATATTATGAACTCCAATTGTTATCAATTAATGTTAAAATAAAATTCAAAAAATGATCATGACCTTGTATGTAGCTTTCACCTCAGAATTCCTATTCTTATGCGTAATATTGTAAATCTTCTTATCACCAACCTCTAGGACGTCGACAACCCCACAGAACCATACTGCCTTGTTCATTTCTTTTTGTACATAAAAAATCGTTTTCATGTACACATTCGCCGCTTGAGCTTCAATTTTAGATGGTGATAACAATCTAGGTATCGTAGTTCTAGTAGCAACCTCAAGGGACCAGTGTTATTTCCTTTGACTTTCAATGGCATCGTCGAAAGTGTTAAGAAAATAAACAAGATCATTCCAATACTTCGTATAAACATTAAAAAATGCATTAATACTCTCAGACCTGGAAGTCGTTTTCATCAACCCAGACATAGGATAGTCCTTGGAATAGGCCGGAATCCAAGATTCTCTTATTGTATACATTTCTTCAAACCATGAGTGACCCCGTAAGCCATACTCATCCATCATGGCATTCATTTTCCTAAAACAATTCCAGACCTATGTGGACATTTCATACGAGCTTGTCGAATTCGCTTTTGAACAGGGTGCTATGGGATAAATAGTCACTAATCTACATGGTGAAACAAGCACACAATCAAAAAAATAAACAAACCCATGTATACATATACTTTAATTGGGAAAAAATTTCAAGATGAAACGTATCTTAAACAAACATATGTGTACATATATTAGAATTGAGGTAAAAAGATCAAATGGAACATACCTTGTCCTTTAATTTTTTGGTTATGTGCCACATACACAATCGATGGGTAGCATTTGGAAAGGCTATCGTAATTGCTTGTTTGTTACAAACTGTGGCTGCCTACCGTGCGCTTTCATAAACGCCTTCAATACCCATGAGAGATTAATGACATATTCACTCCTAATCAAGGAAGCACCAACCACAACCGATTTTTTGTGATTATCAATTGCGACAAATGGAACAAAAATCATTGCATGTCTGTTACGAAGAAAAAGAAACATCTTAATCTTTGAATGGAAATCAGTAAAACACTTGATAACAAGTAACATGTCAATAGTTAAAAAAATACTTACTTGTTTGACCAAAAAGTAGCGTCAAAAGATATGGTATCTCCAAAATGTTTGTAATTCGATCTCGCCGTTTCATCGGCCCAAAATATTGCAATCAACTCCTTCTCATCATACTTATATTCAAAAAAAAAAAAAATTCGGGCAATGTTCATGCCTTTTTCTCATTTTGTTTATTAACATCTGTGCATCTTTGTTACCAACGAAGAGCACAATGTCTCTTTTAAAGTTAATATGATCCCTAGCTGTCCCACCTATTGATTCTAACCCCCCTTTAATTGCCAATTGCATCCTGCGTGATTGAGTGATACCAACTTTAGAACTAGATGTGTGATAAACATTTTTACGATCCTTGTAATCAAGTTGGCGTCTGGAACGAGAGAACATCATTTCATCAGGACGACAAAGCATATGATTATGAGTTTCAACAAACTTATAAACCTCGTAATGGCCACTCTTTTTCACGTAGTGTACCTTAAGGCATGCTTTACAACCATTCCGCTTGAAATTTGTATTACGCCTTCTCCTATCACTAGAAGAAGCTTCTAAAGAATCAAATTCCTTTTTCAATGGAATACCTTCCTTGCTATAAGCAAAATATTGGGTTTCCACTCCATCCAGTTCATTTTTTTGTTTGACGATTGGATGTCAAACCCAACAATATCCGCATACTTCCTATACATAATTTCCACAGACTAACCGAGAAAAAAAATCCCCAACCTTTGGACAACTATTACAATAAAACTTTAGGAACCCATAACTCTGACCCCCGGTGATTCTCCCATTTCTTGCGATAATTCATCTAACAAGTAAAAATAGAGAATTAAAAATAGAGATACATATGAACTTTAACACGAGGGATATCCCAATAAACGATGAAACATATAAAGAATTATACATTTTCAAAATTTAATGAAAAAACTAGTTAACTGAATATTTTATTTCACTCAGTGAAACTTTTGTCTTGCATAAAACGTTTCGAAATATTAATAAATTTAATTCATTAGAAAAATTGTTTTCCTAGTTAATATTGAACATGAAATTAGTTTCATTAGTTATCCCACATACGTTTCTGTCAAGGAAATGAAATCGGAATTCATATTGTCATCTAATTTAATAAATAACGGAAACATAACTTTAAACAATGACTACAAGAACATAACTAAATTCGGACATCCTACGAAATAATGATTACACAAACATTTACTATGAAAAACATTCAATGTAACAACCATGACAAATATTAGACAAACATTCATATTCAAAAAAGAACATCAACATAATAATTAATATAAAGAAGAATTACCATCACATTCATCTCCATTTGATATAACATTATTGGATTTGTTAATCATTTCATTGGAACTAATACCTCCACTCATATCACCCATTGTTGTAGAGGACCGTAATTTCTAAAGATGAAACAATATGATTCTTTACAACCTCCAATCTTTAAATACAAACAATTTGTATGATTCTATAATCGAGGTAACAAGATCGTGGATATCCTAATATTAATGAAATAAAATCATTGTTTTAAAAACTCTATATATCATTTTATAATTACAAAGTATCTAACCAAAAATGTTAGAATAATCTGAAAAATTATATGTTTGATAAAAATTATCTTCATTTTATGTCTAAATATTATAAATAAAATAACATCCACCTTAAAAATAGATCCAAGAAAGGACCAATAAAATTAGGTATATCCTAATAAATTATGAAACATAAAATATACTATAATCAACAAAAAATAATCAAACCTTTTGAATATTAAAACAAATATTTTGTATTATTAAATGAATGAATGAAACTGTTTCACCGTTTATAGAACGAACTCACGTGACTCCTTGTCACCTACAATGAAAGACGGACCGATTGTTATGTAGTGCTGAACAATAATTGCAAACTATTTCATTAACGGTTATTAAAGTAGTATTGGACAATTAATAATTTCTAATCAAAATAACTTTAAAACAAGGGATATCCTAATAAACGATGAAACATATAAAGAGTGAAACATTTTTAAGAATTTAATGAAACATTTTGAAAACTGAATATTTTTTTATTTAATGAACGTTTTTCATGAATAAAACGTTCCGAAATATTAATAAATTAAATTCATCAGTGAAATTATGTTCATGGTCATTATTGAACATGACATTCGTTTCATTACGCAGTACATATATTTTTTGAATGAAACGAAATCAGATTTCATATTCTACTGCTTTTACAATTCATATTTTAATAAGTATAATTTAATAAAATAATAAAAACTATTAATGGTAAAAAATTTATATTAAGAAAAAATGATTTACCACCTCTATATTAGACGTTTCCATTATTATGTTTCCATAATTAACAGTATTTATAATCTTCCAATATTAATCAATATACAATCAAATGGCCATTATACCCTTACTTATTAAAATTAAAGAAAAAAAATGGAATTTTCCTATTGATCGAAAGTGGTTTGCATAGTTTTCATGAATTGAGCGGTTTGTAACGTAACCTGCCCCCCCCCCCTCTCTCTCTCTCTCTCTCTATATATATATATATATATATATATATATATATATAAGTAAAACCTTGGGGTGATGAGGTGACACCATGAGAATTATAAAAGTAAAACCTTGCGGTTATGAGGTGGTACAGTGAGAATTGAGTATTCTCAAATGGTGAACTGTAGTTGAGTTTAAGTTGTCCCACATTGGTAAAAAGTTGAAAGATTTGAACAAAATAAAATGTATACAAAGATGGATCGGTGCATTTGTGTCGATTCATGAGGTTTGCCTCATAGAGTTGTCTTTCTTTAGATGACCCTTTTTAAAATCTATAACCATGATTGAGATGAAAACCAACCAAATGGAAAAACAAACTTTATCTTTATATATATAAAAGAAAACCTTGGGGTATCGAGGTGATACTATGAGAATTGAGTATTTGCATGTGGTGAATTGTGGTTGAGTTCTAGTTCTTATTAAAGGTTCTAAAGTTTCTTGTATTTGTATATTCAAGAATTAGAGACCCAGGTTCAAGAATTGCTCAATCGAGACGAGATCCGGACGAAGGAGCATGAGGAGATAATGCGGAAGTTTACCCAATATCAGTAGTTTTCACCACCCTCGCCACCATAGTTTTGATATTTTGGTTGGGAACTCATATCATCGAACAATCATACTTTCCTTGAACAATTTGTTAATTCCATCCAAACAATCATATTGCGGTTTAGTTAATGTATGATATTTGGTTTACGATTTTAGCACTTTTAGTAGTTTTTCTATATTTACATGATTTACAAATTTCAAATAATTACAAACAAGATCCTTTTTCCTGGACAATAGATTAGTGGCAGACTAATCCGCTAATAATTTTATTGTTTATGAAAAATAATCATTTAAATAATTAAATTACCAGTGGATTATCCACTGATAACTTAATCTTAATTACTAATTCAATTAGTTATGTCAAGGAAGTTGAAAACGTAAAAAAAAACCAGTGGCAGATTTTCGATGACCGGAATCCGCATAAACGGTCAATCCGCCAGAAAGTCTGCACATTTTTTGTCAGATTTTTCTGCTGGGAAAATTCCCCTCTTTAATAGTGAGAGTCAAGCGCCCTCCAAGTTAGATTGAACGAGCTTTCCAATATGCCATTTTTACTTTAAAGTTTTCAACAATAGGTTACCAGTTTTCCACCCGACTCATATTTTGCCAAATTGGAGGATCCAAATATGTGAAAGGCAAACACCTGGAAAGAAAGAAGGTGGTCGCCTTGGGATTGGTTAACTCGCTGGTTAACTCGCATAGCGGGTTGGATATTCATGTTAATGGAAAAAAAACACCTGGAAGCACAACCAAGACCAAGAGCCATCAGTTATACCTCATCTCCTTGTACACCCAAGCCATATAGTTTGTTTTCGCAAAACTTCTCGGAAGCAATTTAAAATCCCCATCACAACTCTCAACTTTTTTAAACTCCATTTGCAGAAGAACAACGAGTCATCAACAAACTGTGGTCGAAAATTCTTACTTCTTTGGGCCAAACTGCGATAACCTTGAAAACATCATGGTTCTAAATAATTCGTTATGGCATTGTTATGATATCAAGGCTTGGGTTTGCCATTGCGTTGAACCTCATGCCTCTACTCTAAGGCTTGGCTTGCACTGTAACGCGTTATGGCACATTGCGACACGTTATATATGATGCCTTATTTTGTAAGGTGTGGGGCTACTTTGATATATAATTAGAGCGATAAATGATAATTATGTATGAAACATATGACTTAAATAAACATAAAAGTGAACTTAAAAAAATTAAAACCTTAAATAGGTACTCACATTCCCGTATACAAAAGTTGAACACGAATTCTTTGAAACTTGAAAAAAGTAGTGAGTAGAGATTCAAAATATTTAATCTCGATTTTGCACTGTTGGTATCACTTTCTATAAGCTATATCTATTTGATATCAATGGCTTTTCTTTTCTTTTAGTTTTATTACTTTATATAATTTAATTTGTTTGAAAGTATTATTCAAAATATTAACACATACAAGGGTGCAGGGATGGGTGTGTGCGTGCGTGCATGCGCAAGCGTGTGCTGCCTTAGGGCACGCCTTGAAAAACACCATGGTCTCGCCGTAACTCGTAAAGCTTGAGGCTTGACCTTGTTGTTACGCCACGCCTCACGTCAATTAGAACCTTGAGGAATACCATTATCCAAAGCCTCTTGGATAGCAACGTTTATCCCCTAGGCGACAATTAGAAAGAGAAAGGAGATAAAGGATCTCCTTGACGAAATGCAGAAACTAAGTCCATCGTGTTGTTTCATATAAAATCATCAAATAAACCTAGTAAATATCATACAAAATAAGGTTGGAGAAGGACATGATATATGCAAATTCTATCTTTACTCAACGAGTAGAGAAGTTGTTTTTGTTTAAAAATGGTTGCTCCATATGTATATATAGATAATGAATTTTCTTTTCATTATAAATCCATTTACAAATATAGGGGAGGCTGGACTCGTCTCAAGTTTAAAGGGCTTTAAAGATGCACCTGTTGTGCATTGAAATTAAACACGTCGAAAGTAAATTTCATTTGGAAAAATGTATTTATTTCCAAATTGATAGTTGAATTTCCTCCAAGTCAAACTATGTTGACTTCTCCGCCAGCTCAAAATACGACTTTACAGACCTTTGATCCAATTTTTGTTCAAAAGTGTTAATGCAGTTTATTCGTAAAATTTCCTAGGCCTGTGTTTGTTGCCAATTACTTAATCTCTTTAATACATGCATGCTATAGAATATCATGTTATCATGTAACAAAATATACAATGATTTGAGGTTAATCTATGACATAATTAGATTCATGATTCATGATATTACCACAAATCTAGACCCAATCAACCAACCAATCAAGATCTATCTCCAATGCATCAAGTGCAAATGCAGACAAGTTGCAAAAACTTACAGCAATGTGTTGTACTCCTTGATCAATATAAACAATTTTCTATTGTAAATTTGTAATTAAACCAACATTTCGTTTTGAATCTTGATTTCACCAGTAATCTCCACATGAACACTTCCCATCTTTGAAATAATGAAATCTTCGCACATCCCTTACGATGATCTCCCTCTCCACGACCCTAGAAATGAACTTGGTTGCAGAATGGCAATCGTTGCAAACTCTAAGGTTTTTAGCAACTCGAATCGGAACTCCAGGTGGCGTGTTCAGTAACCCAAATGCTATTGCCAACCGTTCACTGTGGCCACATAACAGATTCTCCTTTTCCTCCTCGTTTACGTTGTGAAGAACGCATGATGTATCGGGCACGTAACCTTCCTGTTTCAATCTCTCCAATAAGGTTTCAAGATAGCCCTGGATTTGCTTGCTTTGTGGGTGTGATGAATCCCCAGCTACAAATTTATGAACTTCATCATTAAGCTCGATCCAACTGCAGCCCGGTTCTTTCTTTACTCCATTTCTGATCATATTCTTCCTCACTTTGGTTGCTTCCTCCCACAATCCCACAGATGAGTAGATGTTGGAGAGGAGAACATAGTGGCTAGCTACATCTGGTTCCAATAGGAGTAGATTGTGGGCTGCAATCTCTCCTAGTTCCACATTTTGATGAATCCAGCAAGCACCAAGTAAGCTACTCCAAGCACCCACTTTGTTGAACAATGGAGGCATGCTGTTAATGAGCTTGTGGGCTTCGGCTAACTGACCAGCTCGACCAAGCAAATCAACCACACATCCATAGTGATCTTCGGTTGGGTCAACCCCATATTCGTCTTTCATTCTATGGAACAAGTTTCGGCCTTCATCTACCATTCCTGAATGGCTACATGCTGCAAAAAGTGAAATGAAGGTCACCACGTTGGGCTTGACTTCGGCCACCATGCTTTCGAGAAGCGATAGAGCTATATCTCCTTTTCCGTGCATACCGTAAGCCATGAACATAACGTTCCACGTGATCACGTTTCTAATGGGCATCGAATCGAACACCCTTCTGGCTAAGTTTAAGCAGCCGCATTTTGCGTACATATCGGTTAGTGCACTTCCTACAGCAACATCTGATGCTAATAGATTTCTAACAGCATAAGCATGGATTTCTTTCCCTTTTGCTAGAGCTGCTAAGGCTGCACAACCTGGAAGAACTGTCATTAGTGTTATTGAATTTGGTTTACACGTAATCTTTTTGACATCAATTTGATCGTCTGTTTCATCTCTTTGTTTCATCTTGTGAAGCAGATCTAAGGCGTGTTCATGACATCCAGAAACCACATATCCAGTGATCATTGTGTTCCAAGAAACTGGATCTTTAATCTCCATGCTGTCAAATATGTTTCTTGCAATATCAATCTTCCCCATCCTACAGTACAAGTCCATTAGAGCGTTTCGCACATAACCATCTCCTGCAAACCCCAATTTCACAACGTACCCATGCATGCCTTCTTTGTCACGAAAAGCTTCACAGTGCACGGAAGCTGGTAATACGCTCGCCATTGTTGTAGGGTTAGGAAAAAGTCCTGAAAACTCCATCATTTCCAGGAAAAGCATTAACGCTTGATCGTAAAAACCATTTTGAGTATAACCAGCAAGCATAGCATTCCAATTTGCAAGACTCGTGTTTACAACACCATTAAAAACTCTACGACCAATGGCAACTTCTCGGCAATTGCAGTACATGTCAACTAAAGCACTACACACATATGAATTTTTGATCAAATCACTGTTTCGTATTGCAAAAGCATGAATTTCCTTCCCATGATTTAATAACTCCAAATGGGAGCAAGCAGGAAGAACACTTGAAATTGTGACTCCATCAGGCTTCATCCCTTCAAGAATCATGAGTTGGAAGACGGCCATAGCATCCTCAAACCGATCTTTCTGTGAGAGTGAGCTTATCATGGTGTTCCAAGAAACCATATTTTTTCCATCAAACATCTCAAATAGTGATACTGAATCTTCAATCCTTCCAAGTTTTGCATACATAGACATCAAAGAATTGTTTGTAAAAGCCATACTCTCCCCAACCCTCAAATTGTAAGCATGAACTTGCTTCCCAAGCATGACACCACGACGATTTTCCAAATTCGAACAAGCAAGTGCCATGCTCACCAAAGTAAACGAATTCGGTTCAACTCCCTCAAACTGCATTCCCCTAAACATATCCAACGCAAGCTCCCATTCCTCCAACCTACATAATGAAGCTATCAAAGTGTTCCATGACACTTTATCTCTTTCAGTAATTCTATCGAACACCTTGAGGACGTCACTCAAACCCCCACATTTCCCATACATATTCAGCAGTGTATTCGCAACCGTCACTGAAGATGCGTCGTACCCAAGTTTAACTACAGCACCATGGACCTGTTCACCCAAATTCAACTCCTGAATTTCTGTAACTGCTTTTAAAACTGCCGGGAAAGCGAAGTTGTCGGGCCGGTAACCGGCGGTTGTCATGTTGATGTAGGACAAAATGGCTTCTTGGAAGTTGCCGGAGCGAGTGTGAGATCGAAGTTGTTCGACCCATGAGCGTGAATCTGATGTGGATTTTGGAATTGATGAAGGGGTTTTGGGGGAAAACCCGAAATTGTGGTTTTTGCTGATGGGTTTGGGTTGTTGGTGGTTCGTTTGAATAGGGTGAGAGACGGTCAATGCGGACATTGGTGGTTGAACTCAAAGCCTCTTTCCCTCTTTTTCACAGAGAAAAGAGGAAAGATGGATCGATTATTGATCCAAAACCTTTCTAATCTCATCCACAAACAAAATCTTGATGGCTCATATCCACCCACAATTGTCCATCATGAAAGATAACAAAAAGGGGTATTCATGTTTTGGATATTTTAATTAAATGTAAATGTAAATGTAAATGTTGATGACTTGATACTGAGACATTTTAATTTGTTTTGGATGAAGTTCTTAATTTCTTATGATTTTAGGTTCAATTACGAGCAAGAAAAGAACCATCGATTCTTTTTTCAGACGAAAAGAAGACGTTAATGACCCACAACCAAATCTTCAAAAATGATAATCTTGTGGATGTTGTAGATATGGAAGAGAATATTAGAGTTGAACCTGAAAAAAATGACGTGTCCAATTTGGGGAATATCAACGTAGATTCTTTGATTTGTGATCCGGGCTCACGACCTTCAATCCTAAGTTATCCAAGTAATCAACGTGATGAAATTAGGCGAGCATATATTAAACTTGGACCATATCAACTTCATAAATTGAAATATTTTTTTAGTCCAACTGGTCCAAGTGGTAATATGCAGAGTTTTCAAGTAACTTGGTTTAAGAATTTTTGGTGGTTAGAATATTCAGAGAAAAATGACGTTGCATTTTGCTTTCCTTGCTATCTTTTCAATAAAAAAGCCTATTAGACGAGTTGGCTCTGATAGATTTATCGTAGCATGGTTCATAATTGGAAAAAAGTGAATTGTGGAAAAGATTATTCGTTCGTCATTCATGAAGGTAAGACCCCGACCTTAGCACATAATTTTTCTATTAGATGTTATGAAGATTTGAAAAACCAATTGTGTTACATAGAGAATGTGATAGAGAAGCAAACTACACAACAAGTTATTGATAGTAGATTGTGCCTTAAAATTTCTATTGAGGCTATTAGATGGCTCACCTTTCAATCGTCTGCTTTAAGGGGCCATCATGAGTGTCAAATTTTTGAATTGATAAAGTTTATTGCTTATTATAACAAGAATGTTGATAATGTCCTATTGGAAAATGCTCCTCAAAGTGCAAAGTATACGTCACCAGATATTCAGAAAGAAATACTACGTGTCTATGCTACAAATGTACAACAAGCAATCAGTGATGAGATTGGAACGAAAATTTTTTGTTTGATAGTTGACGAGTGCTCGTCGGTTTATTCAACTTTAAATTTCAACACACAAATAGAACTCGGCGCAAGTATACACCTTGAACTACTGTCATCTCGTAACAAGTAATAATGGTAAAGTACCAGATATCGTTCCCACAGAAATACCTTTGCAAAGTTCTTCAAAAGTCCAGTCTATAAAAACTAATTTCAGATGGCGAAACGAGAGATCTGATTTATCTAAAATTGGGAGGTATAATTAGCAACTACGAAAATATCAGTCGTAGAAAAAAGCACAAGGTGCAAAGGTTGATCAAGACACTAAACAAATGATTTAGCAAAAAAGGTGACATAGCATTCTTGTCATAATTATCTAAAATCAATAAATGATTTTATATAACTGTCACAGTATCAACTATCGGGTCAGACGRCCTCCCAAGAGTACACACCGGTCAACGTGCTATCGATACGATATCATTTATGTTAGACGTCGTGAATCCTAGCACAACACAGTGTTACCATCCTACACCGTAGGAGTATAACATTTGTCAGACACTAAGGCTATTTATAGCCTTCTCCTATTATCTCAGGTTTTTTTGTTTGTCTTAACTCTGAAAGTCAATGCATTTTCATACACAAAATCAATTGTCAATTAATTTTAATGTAATCTTCAATGAAATATTAATCACCTGAAACAAATAATAGACTATAATGCTAATAAGACACATTTGTACTTTCACATCGGCTTTGGTCTTAATTTTTTCTTACACCCCAAGCTAAGGCGTTTAACCCATCATCGCTCGGTTTCTTCTCACGAATGATGTAAAGACTGAAAAATAAATAACTGATACGGAAAAGTAAATTACAGAAATTAAATTGTGAGAAATTAAAATACTGGAATGCAAAGTACTAAAAATTAAATTACAGAAATATAAATGACTTGAAGTAAATTGCTGGAAATTAAAATGCAGAAAATTAAATTGCTGTAAAGTGCATAAATTAAAAGACTGAAATATAAAGGACTGAAATTAAAATATTAATAACAGACTATAATGCTAATAAGACATCTTTGTACTTTCACATCGGCTTTGGTCTTAATTTTCCCTTGCACCCCAAGCTAAGGCGTTTAGCCCATCATCGCTCGGTTTCTTCTCGCGAAGGATGTAAAGACTGAAAAATAAATAACTGATACGGAAAAGTAAATTGCAGAAATTAAATTGTGAGAAATTAAAATACTGGAATGCAAAGTACTGGAAATTAAATTACAGAAATATAAATGACTTAAATTAAATTGCTGGAAATTAAAATACAGAAAATTAAATTGCAATAAAGTGCATAAATTAAAAGACTGAAAAGTAAAGACTGAAATATAAAGGACTGAAATTAAAATACTAATAAGTAAATACAAATAATTAGAATTATTCTAAGACATAAAATAGACACTTGATTACTAAGATGTGACAAATGAAAGCATGGAAAGAAGAGAAGACTTTGGAGAAACTTTCACTCCAAGTTACAAAACTTGCAAAATTAGTTTCGTTACTGAAAGCGAAGAGTTACTTGCAAACACTTGAAAACAGATTATTTAGTCTACGGAAATTAATCGTGAGCCACAAAGGATGAAATCTAATGTAAAACAACAGAGATCGATTAATTTCAACTTTGTAACAAAAGTCGGAAAACGTTTGTAACTTGAAAGTAAGAACAGAAATGAGATGAAGATTAAATACGAGCACTTGAATTAAAACTTGAGAATGTAATCGCAACTTCACTTCACAAATTCAGTTCTTGGTTGGAAGCAAGAAAACTGAATGCAAGAAAACCAAAAACAATAATATAGAGAGTAATTGTATTAACACAAAGGTTATGTGTGTAAAAGTGTTTTTAAAACCAAGCCTTAAGCACCTATTTATAGGGAAAGGAAGCTTGCACAAGGAGGCTAGCTAATGAGACAAAAGGGGTCTTCAAAAATGGGCTTTGACCAGGCCCAAGGTCTTAGATCCACCAGCTTCAAGGGAGTAGCCCAAGGAAATTCGGCCCAGACAAAAAGTGCAACTCATTGACTGGTGCTATAGGATTCTGCCAACATGCTCCTACAGGACTGCTGCAGGACTTGGCCCAAAAATCATCAAAAATCTGCATAAACAGGGAATTAACATTAGATATGATTTAATACTACTATTATAAAAAGAAGACATAAAAAGACTCACTTATGACACTAATAAGCAAATAAAACAAGTGAAAATGGTTAAGAAAATGATGTAATAAGGTTAATAAATTAACACTTATCAACGAGTCCCAAGATGAATCTAAGAAAAAGCAAATGGCAATTGTTGTGAGATTTGTCTACCGAAATGGGTATGTCAAAGAAAGGTTTTTGGACTTGGTTCACGTCAAAGATACAACTTCATTGACTTTGAAAAAAAAATGAGATTTTGTCGTCTTTATATTTTCATAAGCTCGATGTTCAAGATATTTGGGGCAAAGGATATGATGGAGCTAGTAATATGCGTGGTGAATAGAATGGGCTATAGGCTTTGTTCTTAAAGGAATGTCCTTACGCTTATTATATACATTGTTTTGGCCATTAGCTGCAATTGGCTCTCGTTACTGAGGTACATCATTTTTTAGAGAATTTGAACTTTATTGTTAATGTTGTTTGTTCTTCTTGCAAACGTAATGATCAATTGGAAGCTGCTCAAATTGCTGAAATCTCCCATCTAACTGAAATTGGAGAGCTTGAGACCGAAAAAGGAGCAAATCAAATCCGAACTTTGCAAAGACCCATAGATACTAGATGGAGTTCACATTTCTGATCGATATGGAGCTAGGTGAGATTGTTTGGTCCGACTTGTTTAGTTTTAAATGACATCGCTAGTGAAGGGTCCACATCTTCCCAAAGAGGTGATGATATATATGCTCTTACCCATGCATCGTCATTTGATTTTGTCATTGTTATTCATGTAAAGAAAGAAATTATGAGGATAACTAACAAAATTAGCCAAACTTTGCTTTGACTTTGGTTTCTACTACAAAGACATTGATTCAGAATCTTAGAGATGAAGGATGGGAATCACTTTTGGATCAAGTTGTTTCTTTTTGCAAATGTACTAGTATTTTGGTCCCTGCTATGAATGGAATTTACAAAGATATAATTCAGTCACGTCATAAGAAAGACAATGTGACCATTGAGCATCACTACCGTGATGATGTATTCATTTCTGCTATTGATAGTTAGTTGCAAGAGTTGAACTCTAGATTTGATGAGTTTGTAACAGATTTTCTTCTTCTTAGTGTTGCTCTTGATCCAAAAAGGTCCTTCAATATTGATGATGTATGTAAATTGGCGAAAACTTACTATCCTATCGACTTTACAGAACAAGAGCAGATTCAGCTCAAGCTTGAGTTGCAACATTATAATCTTGATGTTCCTAATGATCCACAACTAAAAATGTGTATACACTTTCTGAGTTATGTAGAGGCCTCCAGGAAACGGGGAAGTCAAAAATTTATCCATTGCTTGACATATTGGTTCGTATTATATTAACTCTATCAGTTTCTACTGCAACAACTGAAAGAGCTTTCTCAACAATGAAAATTGTGAAGACAAGACTTCGAAGTACCATGGATGATTAATTTCTCAAAAGTTGCTTGCTTCTTAATATTGAAAGGGAGATTGCTGCTTCTTTTTCCCCAGATAAGAATAGATGATTTCTATTCCATGAAACAAATACGTGCTCAACTTAACATACAGAAGGTGCAATTCCTTGTGATTTTTAACATTTGTGTTTACATTAAGAAATGTTCGTTTGGTGCATGTGTCCAAGTTC